ACCTAAAAATTTTTAGGGAATACGGTGAAAATTCGTATTTTCTTAGTCGGAAGCTTTTTCTATTGACAAAGATTCACTGTAAAAAGCTAACATGATACAGAATTCATAATAAATCATTGGCAATTATTTAGAAACTTTCAAAATTTAAATTACCAATATTTCCAAATAATATAACACACACTTGAATTTATAGTAATTCCAAATAAAGCAAACAAGCATGTAATGAATGCCGGAAGGAAAAGATCAAATTGAAAACCAGATGATGGATATGCAAGAAAAATTTCCTTAATTTATTTTTAATTATGGATGTGATCGACAAGGTTCAACATTATGCTTTTAGAACCGATTCGAAATTCAATATTTTTCATGTAAAATTTTCCAGAAAAAGAAAAATTTTTAGTTGTATATATTTCTTAGCCGGGATATCAAATAAATTAAAGGGATGTCATCATCGGAAAGACCTCTGCCATAGGAAAGAAAAAGATAAGGAATCATTGATAAAGGAATTTTTTTTCCAATTTATAGGGAAATTTTATAATCAGCAAAATTTCCTTGATCTTTGTCAGAAATTGAAATTTACAAACGCATAAATAAACTAACAGGTAATTTCAATGTTGTATTATTCATTTTAAAAACCGCTTATTAATTTAAGAATATTTTTGATTTATTTTGATAGTCGTGGATTAAATAAAATTAACTAATAAATTATCTTAAGTCGTTATGAAAATTAAGGAAATATGTAATTAATAATAAATTTTGATGAAATATTTTTAATAAAATACATTTCAGTTTTAAAAAACATAAAAATTTTCGCAGTCTTAAATATTATATTATTTTATTCTTGAATATAAATTAGATTTATAATATAACATTTACTGAGAATTGTGAAACAAACCCAAATTTCTATATAAATAATGAAATTACATTCATCTAACTTAAACGACAAATACAACATAAAAACTTAATTACAATTTTATTAAATAAAATTAAATTAATTACTAGTATTGAGCTTTAAAAAATTCCCAAAATAGAGCACAAGCTAATTAGGTTCATTCACATCAGGTTCATTAAAAAGCGAAACACGAAATGCGAGAATTTATTATCAGCCTTTTTTGGCACATGCCCAACTCGTTTTTCGCGAATAATGGCAAAAAATCTCAATTTACAAATTAAAACAATTTCGGATCGAGGAAGACATGTAAGTTTTTCTTAAAATTTTTAATAAATTAGAATAACAATTGCTATCTTTTAGCAAATTTAAATGACTTTCGAATAAGCTTAGTAAACTTTATTAGGGTTTGAAATTTCTTTAAAGATCTAACACTTTTTTACGTTTATTTTCACGGTATCGAGATGTAAAATATAAGTAAAAAATGTCCATAAGTAAATTACAAATGAAAAATTAAAATTTGTTCATATTAAATTTAACCAAAAAATTAATTCTCGAATTGTATATAATCCGAAGTAAAACGAATTGTGAAAATAGTAATAGTGAAAAGCATTTGAAATAGAATTGTGAAATAATATTTAATTATTTTCATCATTGAGAATTTATATTTTTAATAGCTTTTTTAATTCGTCCAAATTCTTTAGCATAAGCATTATTAAAATCAGAACTGAAATATTTATTTTTCAAACGACTTGTAAATTTGGTATAAATTTAAATCACCAAACCTATTCAAAAACAGAATGGGACCATTCGAAGCTGCAGATATATTAAGTATAATCCCAAAATAAGTTCTTAAAAACCAAATATCAATTTCTGATAATCCCAAAACTGGCCATAAAACAGCTAATGTCAAAACGATAAAATAACCACCAATATTTACAAAAACTATTAGTGAAAGCGAACGTAACAATTTACGCATCTTTTCGTCTTGCAAATCTTTTTAAATTTTAAAAGAATTAAATATAAAATAAGATTATTTAATTTTGTGGTTTCCTATTTTTAAGATTCTTTAAATTCAAAGATTTTAGAATCCGACTTATAAAAATAAATATTAGATAGATTTTTATAAGTTTAGCAATGTTTGATTGTGGTATTTTTTGCATGGGATATCTTGATCGTAAGGGCTAGGGTAATTACTTACTTTCTGGGTCGAAGTTGGTGTGTAGAGGATGTTGGCTTCAGGTTCGTGTTTTACTTTTTGTCGGGTGTCGGGGTTTGTCAAAAAATTCTTAACTAAATATTTATGCGCCACAGGCGAAAATTTTTTTATTTATAGTTGCAATAAGACACTAGATCTTTATTTTGGTGTTTGGGCGAATAATTTTCAATTAGTATATAACAATAAATACATATCAGTTTACCTCCTTTAATTTTTACAAGAATACCAACAGCAATATGTAATATTATAGCAATTAACATTAATGGTATCAAAATTATTCTTGAATCAAATGAATTAAGAGCAGTTACGCCAATAACTTCCCCTAAAAAATTAGCTACAGGCCAATTTGGATATGCATCTATTGAAGTATAAGTCAAATGAACAATAAATATTCCAAAATTAATAATCATTATCATATGTATTGAAATATAGAGATGATAATTAAGATTGATATAACTGTATAAAATAGACAAATAAAACTAATTAAATACACGTATAAGTACTGGAGACTAAGGTTGGCGGAAGTTGGAAATCTTTGATATACCTGATATCCGGATCCGATATCCGAACCGAAAATTTCCGGATATGACTGGAGATGATCGAATCTGGTGGGGTCTAGAATCTACTTCGTAATTCTAGATTTGGCGTATCTATAATTATAAAGCAGAACGAATATATATTTTATTCTTCTAATATATAACGTCATTCTACTTTATTATACTAACTCACAACCCCTCTCTACACTTAATTTTTATAAAATTAGTTACAATATTGGAAATGCGATAGCGAAAACTCTATCCAAACTTAAAGATGCAAACATAAAAATTGATGCAAATGCACCAAAGATTGGTATAGCTTGATATTTAAAAGCTAATATAGCTGGTACAAAATTAATTCCTTTTATTGTAAAAATTAAGAAAAATAAATGACCAATTTGATGTAAAACTTCACAAAATGAGTTGATAGCCAGTAAAATGCTTGTTTTGCTTTTCATTGCTGTATATTTTCCCCTAAATTATTTAACCGTATTTAGGTAATTTTATAAAGTTGGTTCCAAAGGTTCAGCTTTGAATTCTATTTCATATCGTAGGTGATAATTCAAGGATCTTGAGTTATCATAGGTTCTCATTAAATAGTAACACTAGTTAACACAATGCCTGTCTGATTTCCGTAGAATTCCGCAGAATCAGGAATGATTCTGATTAATCAAATCAAAAAAAACATCAATACAAACTCTATAATTGTTTTAAACAGGCTCTGATCGCTTTCTAATGATCTAAGTTTATGTACATAGCAAGACTGGGCGAAATCTAAAAATAAAAAGCGATGTGCAGAAAGCGAAACTTTTCGCGCTGTAAAACGTGAAAAATGCGAAAGATGCTTATCTTCTCCATTAATAAAATAGGCTTTAGGCTTCTTATAAGGAAATCAGTGTTAATAATCATAAAATATTCAAGATTTGAATCACCAATATTTCACGACAATATAACAAACACTTGAATTCATTGAAATTCCAAATAAAGAAATTACACCCATAAAAAATGCAGGAAGAAAAATAGCAAATTGAAAGCCATAAGATTGATAAGCCAGAAAAATTTCCTTGAAAAATTTATTTTTAATTTCTTGATTAAAAGGGCGGCGAAATATTTCAACTTCTGGCCTATTAAAATTGCAGCATATTGCGATATGATGCTTGATATTTTTGTTGAAATGTTTCATGTAAAAAATATAGAGGTCTCCCCGACTAAACCGCTAAGGATCAATCGAGCGTTTGAAATTAAAAAATAGTAGTGATCCGGTGGGTATCAGGGTTGAGTCGTAATTACGAATTACGATTACGAAAATATCGGTCACATACCCACTGGGTATGTGATCAAGTCTTAGTCTTGAGTATTGGACGTTTTTCTGTCTCAACATTTAAAAAATAAACTAACGTATAACATTTAAAAAATAAACTAAAATAAACTAACGGGTAATTTTAATGTAGTATTATTCATTTTAAATTAATGTAGTATATTGGTTTTTAAAAATAATTTTAAACATTATTATTTTAAATATTTTTTTTAAATTTAGGTAATAAATAATTGAAATTTTTATTGAAATATTTCAATTTTTGATTAAAATTTAAATTAATAATGTTGCTTAAAAGTTACATAATTAAACTGAAATTACTAGCTAATAAAATTAGAATATTTACATACATCAAGTTTACAAATTATACCACACTAAATTTAATTATAAGCTTGTTTAAAATTATTCTATAATTAAATTTGAAATAACATATTTCTAGTAAATTTTATCTTTGCTTTAATAAAGTGTACCGGAACCAATTATGATTTAATAATACTTAAAATAAAATTTATTTCATTCAAAACGGCAAAACTGACATAAATTTTTTAAACAATAATCTGATTGTATTTTTAAATGTAAACAACAAAAACTGAAAAAAATTTACAAAATCGTTGTAAATAAAGCAATTTTTGATTAAATGAATAGGTAGATTGTTGTGGTAAATTAATATAATAAAAACGTTTTTTGAATCATACATACATGTGATCTTCAATTTATGTAGATATTACCCTCAGTCAAACCTCGACATACCCTCCCCAGCAACCTAACCCCACAACTCACGCCCTGAGGTCAGGGTGCTACCCTAATTCAAATGATATTCCCTGCTTTTAAATTTCAGAAGTCAAATTTTCTTAAAACTTGATGACGACAAGAAACATTTTTTAAATTTTTTAAAATAAAATATTTAAATTTCAAAAAATGGTGGCTATAAAGAAATAAATACTAAATAATAAAAAATGAGAGAAAGAGAAATATGAGAACAATTTTAAAATAAATTTTTTTTGATTAAATAAATTAATCGTTTAATTTTTAATACAAAAATCATCCTGCAGCTTCGACAAGTTCGGCCAAAGGCTCCAAAACTGGAACAAAACGAACACGATCTGAACCTCCAGAAGAAGAACGACGACGATAAGAACCAGAAGTATGTCCAGACAAATAACTTTCATCGGCCATAGGCTTTAAATGATGAACTGAAGAATCCTCACCAACATTTGTGGGAGACAATGGACGGCTATATTTATCAGGAATGACAGATTTGAGGTAAACCTGGAAAAAAATTAAAAAATAAATTTAAGTTTAATAAAATTGTTTTGAAGTAAACTTTGAGTAGGAAAAGGACCTAAAGCCTGATCCTAGAGATGGAGTCGGATCGAAAAAAGAATAGTGCCGGAGCCTGAGAAAAAGAGGCGGAGCCTATCATCGTCTGTCGGAACTGTGAAAATAAGAGGAAAACGTCGGAAAGCAAACTCTTAATACCCTTAACAATTAATGACAAAAAATAATTTTTTAATTTTAAATTTTCAATGTTTTCTAAACTTACATCAGGAAGTAATTTATCAGGCTGTGCCTCATCTCGCACAATTCGCACTGAGCCAATATTACCTTTGATCAACTAAAAATTTAAAAATAAATTTTTGTCGAGTCAATTAAAGGACCTGTTCATAACGAATTAATTGCCTCCAAAATCCAATATTTGGTCTAACTAAAGGCCGTTTTTCACACATTAAATGATAAGAAGCACGTAATGATTTAGTTCGATATTTGAGCAAATATGCAAGACAAATACTTGCTGAACGGCTAACACCCGCAACACAATGGACAAGAACGGCGCCACCATCACGAATAATGGCATGCATCTGGAAAATAATTTTTAATAAGAATAGGATTAATTTACAAAATTAGCTTATATGTATAAGGTTAAAGTTTATTCAAGGGTTCTAAACCGATTTTATGGTTACGGGAATTCGTATTCGGAGAACGGGAAGGGGGACCTCCAGCAAGCTGGGGGACCTTCGATTGTCATTCCTCTGGACTTTCTGAGGAAGCAGAGTGCTCTAGACTATTATAATTTAACTTGCAATGTATGTATAGTTCGTTTGAACTTCTACACAAACCAATTCGATAGTAGGGACAGTAACAAAGGATTTAAATGTGAGCTTGCCCCAACACCGGGCGATTTCGCGGCAAACTTTTTTGGACTTTTAACGAGTAGGCTGTTAATGTTCCTTTTTAATATTTAAAAAGTGAAATTATCTAGTTGGGACGACGTTAGGAAAAATTGTTACGAATTCGAACGGCTAAGGCTGTCCTATTTCATCTTTTTTTAGTTAAACAGGCAATTATCTACCTGATCAGCAACTAAATCAAAATGAGCAAATAAATCTTCTTCAGGAGTATCCTCAACCCATAATTTCATTCTTGGTACTTGTCCCAAACATTTGAGGTTCGGAACTTCTCGTGTACAATTAACCACTAATTGAATTCGAAAAGCACAAATATTCGCTGCTGTAAGCCCATTGACACCACAAATGAATAAACCAGGAATTATTTCAGATAATTGGGCATAACCGCGTTGGATTTTTTGACGGATTTAGAAGGATTCGGGGATATGGATGGATTAGATTACATAATTAACGTGTAGGATTATATAGGATGGAACAACCTCCAAATCTTCTTAATCCGACTATATCCCTTGTTATCCCACTTAATCCACGAAATCCCCCTTAATCCCCAAATTCCTCGATAACCACCATGATACTCAAATCTATTGTATTTCCAATAGTTCCACGATATCCTTTGAAATCCCCGATATCTCCCAAATCCACTAATCTTTTAATCCAGCCAAATTTGCCGATTTCCTAATTAATCTCCAAATTTTCGATATCTCTTATAATCTCCACACGAAAAAATAAAAATTTTTGGCCGCGATAGGTCGGGTAAAGGTAAGAATTACGGATTTGTTCACTGACGGATTGTCCACTGACGGATTGTCCTACCACTGACGGATTGTCCACTGACGGATTTTCCACTGCCGGATTGTCCACTGACGGATTGTCCGGTCACGAATTAAAATTAGTCTATAAGTTTGTCGAAAAAATAATTACGAATTTCTCAGGAATGAAGAAATAATTAAAAATTATAAAAGAATGATGGATATTAATAAAAAATGGACTATCGAAATAGATCCAGGGAATTTAAAGGATCCGTCAACACTAAATTATCAAATAAAAAAATTAATTTTAAAAATTAATTAATGAAAATTTTTAAATAAAGGTCATTAAATTTAACTTAAATGAGGAAGTTAAATATTTAAATTAATGAATTTAAGTGATAATAAATAAAATAAATAAGAATGTTTAGTAACATTTGAAGGTAAATAATAAAAGTATATTAAAATTAACTAAATTATATCAATAAAATTGGTAAAATATTTTTTATAAATTAATTAAAAATAAAAAAAATTAAATGGCTAGAAAACTTGCAAAATTAAACAAAATAATAATTAAATATAATTAAATAATTGAAGAAAAAAAATTTGTAAAATAATATTTTAGTTAGAATTTTATTTAGGATTAGTATTATAATTTATAAATTTATTTTTATTTCTAAAAATAATTTTTAAAATAATAACCAATAAAGTAATAACCAATTTAAATTTTACCTGGTATTTAGGAAGTTATTTTTACAGATTAAGGAAAATAATACCAAAAAAATTTTTTTTAATATTTTTTTAAATATTTTTGAAAATAGATTATGTATAAAATCATGTATAAAATTTATTATGCATAAAAATAGAATTAAAATAAATCAAGTAAAATATTGAATGAATATAAATTATTTTTAAAAATTTTATTTAATAATTAGAGACAAGATGGGTGCATACGAGAATAGAATTTTCGATCGAGATCTCTTCTCGGTCCTGTATTTACTTATAAATAACTTATTGCCGAATAGGATGAATTCAAGAAATTTAAATTTTATCAATTTCAACGTAAGATATAAGCGATTATCTAAGACAATATGAAAAACGAACTAAACAACTAGTTAATTAAAATTTCAAATTAAAAATTAGGGTTGTCCAGCAATTGTAATAAACATGGTAAGATTGAGTTTTTCTTTGTCTAAGAGTTTTTATGAAAAATTTAACACCAAAGACTTTTATAAAAATCATAGTAAATCAAAAATATGAAAGCAGTCATTTATAAACAAAATAATTTAAAATTAATAAAAAAGCTTATTTTTATTAAAATTCTAAATAAATTTTTAAATAAAAATTTCAGACTAAATATTATTTAAATAAATTCCAAAAATAAATACCAAATTATTTATTTAGTCAAAATACACGTGAATTTTGAGTGTTCTATGGAAGATATAAAAATTATAAAAAAATTTAAATTCCAAATATAAATTTGGATGAGTAATTTGTTTAAATTTAATTTATAGAGTACCACACAAAGTATTTAAGTTGAAAAAAGTAAATAAAATTATTGAAAATTTAATTTAAAAAATAAAATTGGAAGATAATATGTATTAGTTAAAGAATTAATTATTGAAAGATAAAATTAGTAAAAAATAAGGAATAATTTAGAATAATAATTTTTATTTTAAACATATAGAAATAAAAATTTTGTTAAACAGCATAAAATACTTAATAAAGCCCTAAAGCCTTTAATAAAAGCTCTGTTAAAGATGGTCCGTAAAATGCACTAAAAATAAAAGTCTCAAAAAGGATCCAGCCCTCGATCTAATTTCAACAGAGTTATAGTCGAAAGATGCAAAATAAACTAGATCCGTACGAAAACTCAAAAACTTTTTATGCAAAACGAAACTAAAATTTTTTAAATGTTTCGTTATGAAATGAATAAAAAAACAAACGAATCAATGAAAAAAACAGAACGCATCGCAAGTTTTGTGGGACTTAACTTTACAGTAAATTAAAATCTATAGGTGATATTACTTTTTAATTTTACGATAATACACTTAAAATGACAAAAAATAATTAAAATAATTTTAAAAATATTTTTCTTAATTCTGATAAATAATTTAAAATATTTTTTTTAATTATCACATTATCATTTAGTAAATTTAATCATTATTGAGTAAAATATAATCTTTTTTCGAATAAAAACTCAAAAATTCAAAAAAAAATTTCTTTTACAAATTTTTACTTCGAATTTTTCATTTTTATTGTGGTTTTCTCGACCATTCTTTAACATTAAAAACCCATTATTTTATAATTAAATGATAACGGAGGAATTAAAATACTTAAAACAAATAAACTGTGAAACAATTAAAAAGGCCAAGGAATAAAGTAAAAAGAAAAATTTTTATTAGACATAAAAGTATCCAAAAGTGAAAAAAAGACTGATAGAAAAAAATCTGCTTGGGGGTAGAGACAATTTGCTTTAACACTAGCATCGTTGATAAAAATTATAATTCACACATCGTAATGATTTATACTTTTCAAAAAATTTTTAAATCCTAAGTCGGTTAAAAATCCCAAATTATAAATTTTTGGATACGTAAATTTTGTTAATTGAAAAAGGCCCAATTAAGTAAAAAAGATAAGACAAAATAAATTTTAACATTTTATTCTATAGAAAATTTTCTCAAAATTTATCTAGGGTTTTTTGATAATAATAACTTAAATAAAAAAAATTTTTTTTCTGGAATTAAAATAATAAAGAAAAGTTAGGAAAAATTAAACAGCTGATGATTTAAATATATTCAAAAAGAAACTAATAAATTTTAAAAGAATAAAAAATAATTCTTTGTGTTTCTTATGACAGGGGATGTAATAAAAATAATTAAAATAAAAATAATTTTAGAATAAAAATAGAAAAATAAAGATAAAAGAAAAAAATCGAAAAACGTGGTAGGAAAATCAACAAAAATATTTTTTAAAACAAAATTTTAATTTGAGAAATGTGATTTGAAAAAAATAATTTTTAAACAAATAAAAATCACAAATTGAAGGATTACATATAAGCAATTCAAGAGATCATTAACTATCCTCGGGTCATTAACTATTTTTTAAATTTTAAAAATAAATAATTGAAAAAAATTTAAAATTATTTTTTTATGTTCAATTGATGACATACATATTTCAATCTCTTTTTTCTAAACAAGTATCAGTTAGCATTTTGGCTTTTGATGGATGTATTTTTAAATTATATAAATGTACTTTAATCTTAAAAATTTTTTTGTTTTTATTTTTTAGTTTTTTATTTTAAGAAAAGATCAAAAGTTTTCATAAAAAATGAAAAATATTTTAAATACTCAAATCAGAAAAAAAGAAAAATGGATAACTTAATCCGTATCACTTTTGACAAGATTCTGTGTTAGTCACAAAATTCTAATTTTTAAGATATAGCTGATAAATAGGGTATCAGATAGATGAAATCTGGACCCGGCTAGATAAATTTTTTAAAAAAGATTCAAACTGAGCTTAGAATTGAATAAAGTATATCAGATAGATACCCAAAAACATGCTAGGCTGGCTGAAAAACATAGCATGCGGCTTAGTAATATTATTAAATTACTATAATAGTAGTGCTATATGATAAAACGGAATATTCATGATATGTTTAAAATAAATGATTATTTGATTCTAATTAAAAAAATGTTCAAAAATTTAAAGAAAATTAAAGAAAAGATATCATTTTGAACTGGGAATGCCCTCAATCAGTTAGTTCAAGTCCGTGGCAGGTACAAAGTCCGTAAAGCAAAAAAATGAAAAAAAAGTCATTCATTTCAAGGTCCAAAAATTAGTTAAAGAAATAACAAATGATAAATTTTCTTGATTATTTGATTGACAGAAAAAGTTAAAGGAAAAAAATAAAATTGGAAAGAAATTAAAATTAAATTGACAGTTGTTGAGTTTAAATTTAAAAAATTTAAAAATGGAATTAAAAATAACAACAACAGGTACTAGTTTTTTTCAAATTCCCCAACAATCGAGGACAGGGAACAATTCTAATTAGAGTAGCTCCCCAGGTCTTCGGCGTCGAATGTGTTGTCGAGGGTTGTTGGGGATCGAGGGTTGTCGGGGAAGAGCCTTCAGGGTTCGAGTTAGGGGTTTTTGCCAAAAAATTGTGGGGTATGGGAATTCTAATGAATATCTAAATTTTTAAAAAATTCCTCTAATCCCAAAAAATAATTACAATGATTATAATTTCTTATTTTTATTTTTAAATATTTTCTTTTTTTTAAACGAGATCTGCATAATTTTTTTATTTATCAAAAAACTTTTTAATTTTAAATAATAAAAAGCTATTTTATTAGTGATGGTCGGGATTCCCGGTCTCGGTTCCCGAGTCGGGAAATTTCTCGGGTTTTTTGAGCTCTCGGTCTCGATCTCGGTCTCGGTGTTTTAGTCTCGGAAAACGAGACTAAATTTACACCCCTAATGACGGAAATTTTTTGAATTTTATTCGTCCCTCGCGTACTTTGACATTTATTTTTTTAAGAAAAGGGAAAGGAATATTTATATTTTTTCCTAAGTTTTCTTTTGATGGTTGAGTGGTTAGTGTGACTGACTTCAATCACTTTGTTATTTTGTTAGGTTTAGGTTCGAATCCAGGGGTGGAATTTAGGCTGGAAAAATTTTTCTTTTCAAAAATAAATGTCTTTTAACTTTGATTTTGATTTCAAATTTATTCTTTAAATATTTTAAACTTGAAAAGACATTAAATATTTTAAATGAATCATAAATTTTTTAAAATTTTCGCATGAGGCGCCTAAATCCTCAGTATACATCCTCATTTACGGCGTAGAAAATGGGAGAAATCTGGCTTCATGATCGATTTGAAGGGATATCGAGGGAAATAAAGGGATTCAAAGCGATTAATGGTAATATCAGTGGATTAAGGTGGATATCGGTAGATTTAGAAGGAGTAAAGTTATATTGTGAATGTGGGAATTCAAGGAATTTGGGGGATTATGAAGATATATAGGGGTATAGGATTATGAAGAATATATAGGGGTATATCAAGTGATATCCCTCCTAATCTCTGGTCTCGGCTCTCGGTCTCGACTCTCGGTCTCGACCCGGGACTCGGTCTCGGGGTTGATTCCCGGTCTCGGTCTCGACTCCCGACTCTCGGCTTTTTTTAACTCCCGACCATCACTATATTTTATACAAAAATTCCTTTTATAATAGGCCAAACGCCGAACAATCCCGTGACTTAAAAAATAAAAACTGTGTGTGATTCTAAGAAAGGAAAACTAAAAACGAGGCAAAGAATAAATATACAACAAAACGTGATATTGGACGCAAAAATTTGTTTAAAAAATAAAAAAATTTAGAAGAAAATTGATTAAAGAATAAACGAAAAAATTGGTTATTGAGCTTTTGTTAAAGAAATTAATTAATTAAATGAATAATCTTAAAAAGAATTATTTAGTCAAAATAAAATGAAAAATATTAAAATTGAAAAAAATTTTAAACTTTGGGATAAATGAAATTGTTCAGATCCACCACCACTGGAAAATTCCCTCCCTTCATTGCAGTGATGTCAAAGTTCCAGTTCCAGTTCCGGAACTAATTAGTTCTAGTTCCAGTTCCGGAACTAGAACTACGGAACTAACGATTATCTGGAACTAGTTTGGAACTAGAACTACGGAACTAGTAAATGTCTGGAACTAGCTTTGGAACTAGTTCTGGAACTAGTTCTTGGGGGTATATTTTTGACAAAATTTCCTCGAAAATTACCTGCAGCGCGCTGAGTATGGAAGAAATCTGGCGCTGAAAAAGTGAATTTTTATGGCCTACGACCTTAGAAATTCTCAAAATTTTCGCCTGCGGCGCTGAAAAAGTGGATTTTTTCGGCCTCTTAATCCTCCAGTTTATCCTCCAATCTCCTTAAATCCTCCGTTATCACTCATAATCCTCTTATAACCCAGATATCTAAATTATAGAACGGGATTATCGGAATTAGGGATTAATCACGCGGCATCCTGTCCCGTAAAAAATTTTTTTAAAAAATCCCGTTACGGGATCCCGTGAATGCGATTTTGCCGCACACTAAATGATTTTTTAAATTAGACTACTCCCACAATGACATCCGTGTCGAGTGTTGAGTGTTTTAACTTTCAAAAAAAATCTTGAAAACACTTGAAAAAAACGGCACAACCATGGTGCAGACTGCATGAGAAACCATTCGACACTCGACACGGACGACTATCAAGTGTTGAGTGTCGAGTAGTACGTATCCATCCTACATTGGAATTAAAAAGGCACGGACTAAAACACTTGACACTCAACGCTCAACACATGACACATCAAATGTGGGAGTAAATTTGGAACTAGAACTAGCTTGGAACTAGTTCCGGAACCGGAACTGGAACTAAGGGATTTCAAAAATGGAGTTCCGGAACTGGAACTGGAACTACAAAAATTAAAAACCTGGTTCCGGAACTGGAACTACAAAAATTAAAAACCTGGTTCCGGAACTGGAACTACAAAAATTAAAAACCTAGTTCTGGAACTGGAACTAGTTCCAGAGAAATTTTGGAACTTTGACATCACTGCTTCATTGGTTTAAAATTATCAATAAATGAGGTAAGAAAAAAAAAATTTAAAAAGAATAAATATTTAAAAAATGCCAGTAAATTACTCATTAATAATTATTCATTTTTTCTCATTTATTACTCATCCCATCCCATGAAAAAAATTTTGTGTTTTAAACAAACAATTTTTTTATATATTTAATTAAGCTTTAGTGTCCCTAAATGTCTAGATACTCTACCGGAAACAAACAAAAAATTATTTGCGAAAATACGTTACAAATACAACAAGGATGTTGTTGTTTCCGTTTCCGGCTTATTTCGCTTATTTTTGAAAAACGGAAATTAATTTATTAGTTAGCTTAAATTGGTGAAGATTTTGCAGATTTGTGAGGAACTCAGGACGACTCGTTTAGTCAGAGTTAAGATTCGAAAAAGGTCGGAGCTGGCTGGAGCCACAAAATGCTCAAAACACAATACGTTAAAGAGAGAAATTTGGAAAGGAACAAAAGAAGATTGTAAAAAAAATTTTTTTTGAATAAAAATAGTACTTATAATAAACATAGAATATTTTAATTATTTTTTTACTTATTTAAAAGGTAATTTTAACAAATTTGGGCAGGAATGGGAGACAATAAAAGCGAAAATCAATAGAATAAAAAATGGAAAAAACGGGGCAGCTGACTGAGGACAATTTTCGTAAACCTCGCTTACCAAAAAATTTTATTTAACATAAAAATTGTAACCATGCGGAATAATTAAAAATATTGTAAGGCAGGTCAGTGTTATTGCCAGCAGAGAGGAAGAAACTGCAGAGTTTAAAATAAAATTTCGTTAAAAGAAAAAAATGAAAAAAAAATTTTCGTTCTCGGAAAGCCTTGCTTCGTAGAGCAAAAATTAATCCAATCCAATTTTTTAATATTTTCTAGTATGGAGTTACCGTATTAATACATAATTAATTGCTTAATAAAATATTAAAAATTTTAATTAAATTAAGAAAGAGAATTATAATATCTGAAAAATGACGTGATCGTGATATCTGCTATAAATCCGGAACAAGATTACGAATTCCGAAATTAATATTAATTTTCCAATACGAGAAAAAAGAAAAAAATAGTAAAACTGAAGGAATACGAAGATTTAAGGCAATATAGAAAAGAATAAACAGAATATTCATTGTTAATACAGTAATAATTATAGCAATAGTACTACGGTACACCTCAATTGAGTCCGCACGATTGAGTCCCCACGATTGAGTCCGCACGATTGAGTCCCCACGATTGAGTCCGCACGATTGAGTCCCCACGATTGAGTCCCGGCACAATTGAGTCCCCACGATTGAGTCCGCACGATTGAGTCCCCGTTGTATATACCTCAATTGAGTCCCCGTGGATTTAATTATATTAAAAAAGATTAAGAGGGATATTTGGGGATTTGGAGGGATTAATGTTAATATCAGGGGACTTGTATGCGACATCGAGGTATCAAGATGGATATTGGTGAATATCAAGGGATATAAGTAGATTTAAGCGGGGATATCGGTTGAATTAAGGCAGATATCAACAAATTCGGAGAGATTAAGATGGATATTGTGGGTTTGGGGATTAGGAGGGATATCGAGAGATTTTTTGAATGACAGTTCATTCGAAAGTAGTGAGTCGAATGACACGAAAATCAACATTGTTGAACAAGTTCTCGCCGAGATATGGGGCTCGAAATGGTGGATTTTTTGGTGGAATTCCATGGGGAATTTTTGTTGCGAAACATTCGAATAAACAAAAAATAGCTCATTCGAAAGGGATCGACGAGATGAGTTGAATAAGAACAAAATCAAGTTGATTGAATGATTCTGAACAAATTTTGACCAACAGAATCTTCGCTGGAAATACTTTTTGTGCTGCTATGGAGGGTAGGGGAAACTATCTAAATTACGAACGTAAAAACTCCTTCCTAATTTCCGGACTCCGGCAGAATTTACCTGGATACGGGAGAAAATCAAAATGTGAAAAAAAAATAAAAAAATATTTTTTAAAAATTTTATCAAAAAAATTAAAAAAAACCAAAGTCTAGCTTCAATTAGTGTGCCAAAGAAAGGCCTTTCTTTCGTTATTTGTTCTCCTAAGTTCACCACCTTCGTTCCTTCAGAAACTGTGAACTTGAAAATCGCCAGTCAGAAACTGACGAAAATCAACTAAAAAATTTTAAAAATAAAAACGAAAAACAAAATAAAAATTCCAAACCTTTTCAAATTTCCCATCGTTGCAGCCGTGGGATGAAGTCCGACACGTGATGAGCAAAGTTAGACCAACCTGAAATATAAAATCTAAAATTAAAAAATAAAAATTAAACTTTTACCTACACAAGATTCTCGTCCTCCCTCTCGTCCTCATTGAGAAAATTCAGTGCTCGGATGGACTTGATTGGATGCTCGGTCAACTAATTAACAAAATTAGTTGCAAACCCCAAAAGAAAAACAAAAAAATAAAAAAAAAACAATAAAAAAATCTAGGAAAATAATGCGGGTACACAAACGTCCCCCTTTGGGTGGGTACACAACCGGCGGTACACAAACGGCCGGTACACAAGTGTCCCCTACCGGGAATTTTTAAAATTAAATCCACGGGGACTCAATTGAGGTATATACAACGGGGACTCAATCGTGCGGACTCAATCGTGGGGACTCAATTGTGCCGGGACTCAATCGTGGGGACTCAATCGTGCGGACTCAGTTGAACTGCTCCGATAGTACTAGATGATCACAAATAAATTAAAAATAAAATCAAAATGAGGAATAAATGTTTATTTAAATAATAAAATTTATAAAATAAATAGTGATGTGATAACATAAAAAATATTTAATTACAGTTTTTGGCCTCCATTCTAAAAATATTTTAAATGTGGAAATAAAAATGCTTTTAAAGCATTTTTAAACAAAAAACTTGTTCCGTATTACAAATTGTAAAGTCATTCTGTAAACTATGGACTTGTGTAGTTTTAAAAATAAAATATTAACACAGAAAGGAACGGAATTAAATAGCAAACAAAATCTATCCACATGAAAAGCATAAAAATGAAAAAAAAATTTTTTTTGTCGGATGAATAGGCGCTGAGAATAAAGTGAATAAATAGAGGCTGTCGTATTCACGTGAAATTCATATGAAACGGACAAATAAATGGATTGTGGTGGGAGGGGAATTAAAGCAAAATAAAATGATTAAAGATGTCGAAAACTAAAATAAATACAGGAGAGAGGGATATAGGGGGAAATTGGACGTTATTGTACGAAGAAAAGCGGAATTGAGAGATTGAGGGGGTTGCTAAGGAAATAATAGATGTAAAATGAGGAAATTTGAGATTTTTTAATAAAAATGATGGATAAAGTTTTTATATTTTTTAAAAGGAAAGGAAGTTATTAATTATTTTTACTATCTAATTTTAGAAAAGCAAATAACAATAGTGATGTTAAGAGAGTTGAACAATTTGAAGAAATTTTACAGATGATATGGAAAAATACGGTTTGTGTATATTGATGGAGGTACTATGATTTTATTATTAAAGGTGCCAAAGTCATAGCTGAGCAAAGATTTATTGAGAGATCTCTCGAACAAAAATCTCAGTTAATCCCACATCCGTTAAAATTTATTGCCTGCAGCGCTAAAAAATAAATTTTTGGCGTCTAAAACGTTAACAATTTGTTATTACATTCAATACATTCATTAATACATTCATTTAATACATTCATTTACACATTCATTTGACTCCGCGCAGCTAAGCTCATATGTATTTTCAATATTTTTCGAGATATGTATCTCGACGACATCTTACACACGTCTCTATCGTCGAGAGAATTTAGTCTCTCTAATATTTGTTTCAGTCTGCCATTTTTTCAGACAAACCAACATTATATTTAAATAGAATTATTAAAAATCTCACAAACAAACAGCATATCCGGTCTAGCTAAGCACCCAGACTAGCTTTCACAATGCCCTTTTAAATAAAAATTTTTTTCGACGAAATGCTAAAAGGAACGTCAAATAAAAGCTCCAAATATTATTGACATTATGGGGTCTACAAAAAATATATATTGGAACAAAAAAGGAGAGGAAAAAGAAATAAATTTTAAAAAATAGTAGAGAATAAGCAGCTGTCGCTAAGAAATAAATAGTCAAAACGACAGACAGTCTGTCTAATACTATAAAATAAACACTAACATAAATATTTACACACTATAAAGGGCCAAATGTGCTGAAATTCTTTTTGTCTCTCATTTCCGACTTTCTTGGAGCGACATTTGATGACAAGACATTTGAGGATTAATCAAGTACAAATCGGTGTTAAAATTATAAACAGATAGGTAAATTTTATAAAAATAAGCTAGTAATTGTCAATAAATGATAGTAAAAAGTTAAAACAACATTATTGCAATGAAGTTAAGTTATGATATAAAAACATAGGGGTGTTGGAATTCTGATTTCTTGCAATTTCTAAAATTGTTTGGAAAAATTTCGGATTTCCGATAATTTTTGAAGCATCGTTCAAACTGAGGATTCTGTCAAAATTTCCAGAATTTTCGCCTGCGGCGCTAAAATGGAAGAAATCTGGCTAGAATCTTGAAAAAATTTTTCAAAAACTAATTTTGGTCCTCTTTACTTTAAAATTAGCTTATTTTAAGCTCTATTTAAAATGTCGGTCCGCAAATGACGCATAGCTCGTCTATTTATTCCTTCTCTTCTCTAAACGGCAGGTAGCAAAAAGAGAAAAATATTTTTTGATAGATTCACACAGAATTCACGTGAATTTCATTTTGTTGGTTATACATAGAAACGCGGACAAACAAAAAAGAGGGAAGAAAAAACCTTGAGCTTTGAGAAATTTAGAGGGGTATTTAATGCGTACCTGTACATAAAGTGCAGCTTTTTTCAAAAATATTTATAGAGGGAATTAGTTTATAGAAAATTGTTTACGGTTTCGTTTTAAAATTCTGTTTGTAAACAGATTGTGAATAAATAATTTAAATATAAACAGAAAAAGATACAATTTTTTGAAACGTTGAATAAAAAATTTTTCTTCATAAAAGTTAAATGCTTACTGTATAAAAACTGATGAATAATTTACGAAAAAATGAACCAATTTAAAGAGGAAAATTAACAAATAAAGTATTGTCTCGATTAATTACCTCCTCTAGGTAGAGGTTGAAAAAATAATTACACAAGGTAATTAGGTATATGTAATATACAAATATGGACAATACATACTAGGGCTACCAACTATACAACTCTAAAAGTTTTCGGAATTGTGGTTCCTTACTTAAAATCGAAGGGGTTTCCCAATTCATTGTAATTTCCGAAATTTATTGGTTTCTGGAATCATGAACCATCACGGTGTGATCCTTAATTTTAAAAAATGAGGCTGTATTATATTCATTTAAAAAATAGGAGGAAATAATCATTTAGAATTTTTTTTTAAAAAAACATGCCCTTTTAATCAAACAAATATATGTAATTATTATTTACAAGTTAAATAAATAAATGAAAAAGAAAAAGAAAAAAATATTTACTTTATACCTGTTGATTTTATATCCCTCCTGTCAAGTCTATTTCTCAAAACAAATGATTAAACGGAAGTAAAAGTTAAATAAAAATGGATTTTGACGGAAATGAGAAAAAAGTGAAGAAAGTAGGGGTGGGCTGTTTACAAATAATTTAAAGTTTAACGACACATCATATACATCAAAGATCCTGTTCCGACATAAAAATAAATTCAGATTTTCGGCAAGTTCGCGATTATGTTTGTTTTTGGGGGAGGGGGTCAATAATGAACAAAGGATTAGAAGTTATTAAAAATCGTATTTGTGAATTAAAAACAATATCGAGGGAGTTGGTGGGGAAGGGGTATTAAGATGGATAGTGAAAGAGAATTCTGAAGAGATATCGAGAGATTTGTGAGGATTAATACTATTAGCTAAAATCTTGACTCAAGACATTTTGGATTTTTTCTAGATAAAGAATGATGGTAAAAATAAATATAAAAACTAAGATCATTTAATTTTTTTAAGACATACATATATTTTAAATTATTAATCTGGGAGCGATAAATGGTGATAATTTTAAAAAGTAGAAAAACTCGTAAATAAAAATATTAAAATTGAAAATAAAAAATTATCTTTAAATAAAAAAAAGTTTTTAAATTTTTCCCAATACTTGCCCTTTTAAATTTAATTTTTTTATATTTTAGTTTGGGAAATGCTGCAAAACACTCAAAAAGTTAGAAAGATAAAATTGTAATAGGCTGAATAAACGCGCATAAAATGGGGAAAAATAATATTTTCAGCTAAAATATGAGAAATTCACGTGAAAATAAATTTATGAAAATAAATTTATGTATTATAAAAGAAAAATATACTTTTGTTTTAATAAACAAAATTATGTTTATAAAACTCTAAAATAGAATTCTGACCCGAGTAGTACTCTTGCGAGCCAAGAAATTTATTTTCACGTGAATTTCTCATACGTTCTTGATCAGGAGGATCAAAAGTTAATTAATTTAGAGGTTAGTCCAATTCGAAATTAAATTTTTAAGAGACATTTATCAGCAAATTTTTAATTGAAATTTTGGTTAGATAAGAGTTCCAAATGCAACAGACATTTAACAGCCAGTTTCTATCTTTTAAGCTTTGCGAAGTGTTAAACCGAGACTGACGCAATCTAAACCATAAAGGAGATATACTATTTTAAAAATTTTAAAAGTTAATACTTTTTTCAACTGCATTTATAAATAAATATTTACAAGTTTACTGACAAGTTTTCGCTAAAAAACAAAAAATAATGAGAAAATAATATTATGAAGAAAAGGATTATTCATCTATTTCTAAATGAATTTCACGTGTATTTTTGTGCTTTTCATATGAATTTATTTATTTTTAAAAATTGTTATTCGTAAAAAATATTTTTGTAGTAATAGAAAGGTAAACATATTTTCAAAAATAGAAAAAAATAATATTTTTCCAGTCAAAACAATAAACATGTTTTCAAGCTTACAAAATACTAAATAAAATTTTGTAAATTTTATTTGAGCATTATTTCGAGAAACATACTTGGAATTTAAAATTTTATAATTAATTTTTTTATAAATTATCAATTTAAATTTCATAAATTAAATATAATAGGTACAGTTGTGTCCGTTCTTGATGATTTTCAGATCAACATATTATTTTCATGTTTGTTCTCGAAACGGTTCTTGCTTCAAAAATTGGCACAAATGGCAACTCGAAGAAAAAACACACAATCCGTGTGTAAAGATTGCTGAATTTTTTCTGAATTTTTTCTGTAATTTTTTCGAATTGAAATTTAAAAATTTTCGAATGCAGTCTGGAAATTATCTGAGTATGAACACTGACGAAGTTTATAGACTTCTACTTTTTCATATTATGTTGGCGCTTCCAACTGCATGATGTGGCTAATTCAATAGAACATATTTTATATAATTAATATGTAAAGTTAAACTTTAAACTATTTATTAATCACTAGTTGCTGCCCTCAACAGCTGTTTAAAAGTTTATGTTTCTATTGTGTACCTTTTTAGATTGTCATAAGGATTGTAGTGATTTATGCTTTTATTATAATTTTTTTAACTTTTAAAGAGGAAAACATGAAAATGATAAAATTAAGCTGTTCTTTAAACAAAGTAGTGCTATTAAAAGAAATTGTTCTTCAAAACATTGATTTTATACCAAATTTCTCTTATCTATTTTTTAGAGGTTTAAAATAAAAATCGAATTATTTTTTATCATTTTATTTGAGTAAAATGGAAGTAAAAATCTGTCATTTAATTTTGTCAACTCAAGTATAATTCAATTGACAATAAGAAACCGTGAGCAACTATCGGACCCTTGAGTGTAAAATAACCCTTGAGCAGAACATAGACACCTGATTTGAATATATGAGAAAACCTCATTAAATTTAAATAATTTTATCACCATAAAAATTTATATAAAAATGATGTCTGATCAACAGAAAGGAAATACACCATTTTTGCCAAAATACCCGATGGACAACGAGGAAAACAAAAACAACACCAACAAGTTTAGGAGAACAAACATAAATTCTCTTTGTTCCTTCAATTTCAATCGGTTCCATTATTGTGTTCTGTTATGTTGGCTATTTGGAATTTTTTTCGCAACTCAAATGATTTTTTCCGTGTTTTCAAATTATATACCAAAATGGAAATGTTTATTAAATAATACTTCAAATTTTGCTAGAAATTGTACAGTATATCAACAATGTCCTGAGAATTTGATAAAATTTGAAGAGAATATACCCTTTCATTCAGCGGCAATGGAATTTGGTTGGATTTGTGGAGCCAATGCATATAATCGAGCTTTATTTAGGTAAGCTGTCGTTGGATTGAAAATTGAAAAAAAATATTTTCGAGAGAAATTACTCACTTATCAGTAGCGGCGCGCGAATATATCAAGTGGAAAAAAGATTTCTATAATATCCTAGACACCGTGTTCAGGAGATGCTGGTTATAGAAACTGGTTACGACCAAATTGGGTGAAAGGAACTGCCCATTCTTTAAATCAAAAGAATGATTCTAAGACTGATTCTTAATCAGACTGATTATGATCAGTTATAAATTTTTGCCAGAGTGTCTCTCTCGCATTAAGGTTATGTTCAAATGGACTTAAAATAATTATTTCGAAACTTTTAAAAAACATTTTAAATTAAAAATTTTTAAATTAAAGCCAAATTCAATTTGCTGGCGTGCTTATTGGCACCTTAACTTTTGGAGCAATATCTGATGCCCTCGGTCGTAAACCAGTTTCTGTTTTTGCATTAACTGTTGGAATTGCTTCAATGTTTGCTACTGGTAGCAATTAATTTTTTGTGACTTGTAAAATTCTTTCTTAAGCATTTGCACCCAATTGGCATTTCTTATTAGCTTGCCGTTTTATTCTTGGTCTCTGCATTGGAGGAGATTTGGTTGTTGTATATACTTTTGTGATGGAACAATTGTTACCAACTCAAAGGATGGCTATTAGGGGATTTTTTAATTGGGTACTTTTAATTCTTGGGGAGAGAAGGGAGGGGGTAATAATGTAAGAGAAAGGCAAAAGCTTGGAACCTAGAGCAACATCTGGCTTCTATTGTAAGATGCTTTTTGGGTTAAGAACATCGAAATTATGTCCAGCTTTCGGTCATTGCTTCGGATCAGTTAAGGGATTAAGTCAGAAAAATCGTCTGGTTGAGCTTGAGCTTTTCACTTTCTCGTTAATTGTTCTTAAACCCCAAGCTAGGTCCTTTCTTTAATGCTAGTCAACTCGATACACTTTTTCACTATCTGAGTTAAAAAATCTTATTTTCCAAGGGAGTTGCTCGTCTAATATTTACTTTGATTTGTATGTTCTTTCCTGATTGGCGTTCTTCAAGTATTGCTTGTGCTATATTTTCAATGCCTGCCCTAATTATTATAATATTTTTAATGCCTGAAAGTCCAACATGGCTTGTTTACTTTAAAATTTTTTTTCAAAAGAAAAAATATTTTAAAGCATAGTAAGGGTCGTCTTGAACAAATGCGAATAAATGAAAGAAAAATTGCCCGGTTGGCAGGTCTTCCACCGACAATTAAATTACCTGAACATGAAAAATTATCTCCAAACGATAATTCTTTTTGGAATTTAATCAAAGATAAAACTCTTCTGAGACGTGTTTCAGTTCTTTGGGTTATGTGGCAAGTGAACTGAATTATCTGATTATTTTCTACAAAATTTTTAGGTTCACAGCAGCAATTTCCGGATATTCTATAGATTTGAATAGTTCAAATATTAGTGGTGATCTTTTTCTTAATCAAGTAAAATTTCTTTGTTAAAAACTAAGTTCCTATTATGGTTAGTATGCGTCTAGCTTTTAGAATAAATAAATACTAATTGAGTTTGAATCGAGATGGGGTGGATCAAAGAAAATGCCAAGTTTCTTGTCTGCATCTTTAAAAATTTTGCCAGGAAACCATATTTTTTTCGTCTTTTAATGGAAAAAGTTCCCATGAAAACTGCAGGTTCCTGCTTGGAGTCTCAAAAATTATACGTATCATGTTTCATCCGAAAAAGTCATAATTTCACTTTATGGCCTGGTAAGGATCATATGGTAATTGGGATATTTCTAATTTTAAAGGTCAATGAATTTTTTAGGGCTCGAGGCTTTGATAAATTTTTTATCAATTTTAAGAGCCTTCTTTCGTCGATATGTGCAATCTCTAAAATATGCCTTGTTATAGTTGATACTGTATTTCCAAAATTTTCTCGGCGTAATCTCCATCAAGGGGCACAACTTGTAGTAATTATATCTGCATCGTTTCTAGTCTTCTTCGTTTTTTATGATCATGATGGAATTGGAATTCTTTTGGCTAATTTAATTGGAATAACTTTCATTGAATTAACTTGGTTGTTATTTAATTTTAAACGGAATTCGACCCGATGGGACAAGGGTCAAAAAATGGGTAAAGGATCCCCGTCCCCTTGTAAATAGATGGGGGTGGGAAGGGGAATTAAACGTTGAAATCACTTTCTATGAAAGAGAACTCGTGTTGCCCTTGTGGACGTTTTCCAACAATCCCCTCGCCTTAGAAAATCGTTCCACGCCACATAAGAGTTTTTTAAAAATTTTCTAAAAAATTGAACAAAAGAATCAAATTTTTTTATATTTTCAGGGATGCCTGCTATCTCTGGTTTGATTTATAAATAATAATTTTAAATAATTTTTAGCGCCGTAGAATCTGTGCCAACATCATTGAGGTTTTAATAATTATATTCCTTAAATGAAATAATCCCTTAATACTTATTTGTTAGAGCCTCATCAGTTGGTTCATGTTCATTAATAGCTCGTATTGGTACCCTAATTGCTCCAGTGGTCTTTAAATTTTTAAAAAATTTTTTCAAATTTGATTATTTTCAGTTAGTATTTTTAAACACTCGTTGGCCTGCAAGTGTTTATTTAATTATTGTCTTGATTGGGTCAATAAATTTGTTGATTTCTTGGTTATTTTTAATTGAAACAAAAGGAATTAATTTGGATTCTGTACACTTACATGAAGATAATAAACAATACGAATTTATAGGAAACGAAGAAATGAAAAATTTAAAAATTGAAGAAAATGAAAAATAAATTTTGTTAGATTACTGTAAATTTTATGATTTTTTTGTAAATTTTAAGCACTTTTTGGCAATGTTTCGCTTTATATTACGCATTTTTTCTTATTTTTTTTTATTCCACTAGAAGGTGGGGATTAAGTGCTTTTCGATATTTTTGATGTTTGCCATTGATAATAAATGTGTTGAGTTCTAACTGTTAGAGATTTGTTCAGTGTCGAAGGCCTATGAGGTAATTATAATAATTACCTCATAATCATCTATGAGGTAATTATTTTCGTTTAGGCTTTTTTTTCCTTCAAGTAAAATTTTTTAAGCTAAATTCAATATATAATTTTAAAATTCAAGAAACGTTTATAAATTAAAATTTAATAAAAAATAAATCATCCAGTTGTAACATAGTGTACGATGCTTCTTGACGTTAGAAAGCGGCAAACAAGTGATAATTATTAAATTTTATTTACAATAAATTTTTTAAAAATTGTTCCTAAATTGCCTGTTTACATTTAAAAGTATAATTTTCAATTCTCATTTCAAATTGTTAAATTTAATATTTTTCCCTCAAAAAGTATTATTTAATTTTGTTTAAAAATTTAATTTTATAGAATTATTTAAAAAATTTAATTAATATTTAAGTTTTTGCGTAAATGGGAATAACGAAATGTTTCTTAAATTATTATATTATATCACACGTTAATAAAATAATTTTTTATTATGTATTAATATTCAAAGAAAATTAAATTAATTTTCATATGTACATAGTAGAGTTGTACCCCGACCCCGTACCCCGAACCCCGACCCCGTTCCCGAACGATTTTTTCACGATTCTCCCCGACCCGAACCCCGCCCCGAAAAAAAGTGAAAACCCCGTTCCCCGGCCAAAAAAATTTCGGGGTTATCGGGGTTTTATACCCCTAAAAAATGTCATTTTTTGGAGAAATTAATGGAGAAAATTTAAAAAATTTCCACTCATTTTACTTTGCTTTTATTATTTGTGAAAGAAAAATGAATGAAATATCATAATTTTCTTTCCTTCTTTATTAAGAGACTTGTGGTTGAGTGGCTTAGTCGTTGGTTTTAGCCGATATTTTGTTAATATAGAATTGGGTTCGGATCCATATAAGGAGAACTCTATTGTTTCTATATTTCTTTACAAAAACAAATTATAAACGAGTTAAATTTTAATTCGAAAATATTAATTTTATTTTTAACTGATATCCCTTGAACCACCCTTAATCCTTCAACCCCTGTATCAGAGGTGGGTCGACTATTTTTGAGCATTTTTTTCTCTAAAAATTTTTCCTCTAAACCCCCGTACCCCGACCCGAACCCCGACCATATTTTGCTCCCCCGACCCGAACCCCGCCCCGAAACAATTGGAAAACCCCGTACCCCGACATACCCGCCCCCGAGCGTTCGGGGTACAACCCTAGTACATAGTACATAAAATCAGAAAAATTATTTTTTAATTTTTAAAAATTGAATTTAAAAAATTTTACGTGATTAATAAATATATAAGATATTGCGTATTTTAATTACTTTTTAGTAATTCTTCTTTAAATTAACCTTTGTTATTCTTCCATATCGCGTTTCTGAGTCTTAATTAAATTTAGTTAAAAATTAAAATCGGATAATGAACAATTCAACAACACTTCCGGTATGTTTATTAGCAATATATTTATTAAAAATCATAATCGCCCAACGTCCATACCTAATAGATTAAAAAGAGGGGTGGACACAATTGCGGGATTTTTTATTGTGATTTACTTCCTGACCCCAATAAATTAATCAAGAGCTTTTATATATTTTAAATTTAAGGCAATTTTCCTGGCATATCAAGATCAAGGCTTCCATCTTCCTTTATTCCTTACAGCGCTATCACTGACCATACCGGCAACAATTGGAATTATTCTAAATTCAAGTGTTTGTTATATTACATGGAAATATTGGTATTTATTTACGAGATTTTTGAGTTTAAACTAAAATTTCCTTTGAATCAAGAATTTAGCTGAGATTCACTCTTGTTTCCGACATTTCCAAAATATAGGAAAAGTAACCAATTTAGTACAGGGTGTTTCAGCTGAAAAGCGCTATTTGAAAAATCCATAACTTTTTACACCGTGGACAGATTTAAATGAAATTTTGTATTTTGCATCTATATTTTATGGCAATTTTTTTGACATAAAAATTATGTCTGAATTCGAACCCTAACCCGAGATAATTTCCTACTCTACCGTTCTGTTTTTCCCTTTTTCCGCACATGCATTCTTACTCCCTTTTGTTAGTTACGAGCGGGCGATAGACACTAGAGTAAACACTAGGCGATAGACACTACAAATGCAATACAGTATCTACTCTTTGTCATACGCAGGAAAATAAATGAAGTAAGATATCACACAATGAAAAGAGGGAAAAAAGAGAACGGTAGAGTACGAAATTGAAATACAGGGTTAGGGTTCGAATTTAGACATAATTTTTATGTCAAAAAAATTGCCATAAAATATAGATAAAAAATACCAAATTTCATTCAAATCTGTCCACGGTGTAAAAAGTTATGGATTTTTCAAATAGCGCTTTTCAGCTGAAACACCCTGTATAACTAGTTTTATGATGGTGTGGTCTGCTATATAATGTGGAAATTTGAAAACCCTACAATGAAAAACACCGATGGGGTTAGGTCCATGATTGGAAGCTCGTACCAAAATTCGTACTCGTACCTGTGTACGAGTACGAGAAATAGATTAGACATATACGATACAAGAAATTTTCTAAATTCAACGCAGTTTAGGCCCAGTCTTTAAAATTACAGATATGCTCTTACTCGTACAAGTCAATAATTTTTTGGTCATACTTGTATCTATCAGTATATTTGGACTCATAAATTTTACTAGCAACGTACTTATAAGCCAAAAATCTAAACTTTTGGCTGTTTTTATTAGTATTTGATACATATTTTATCTACTATATTAATATAAAATATTTTTAAATGAATAAATTTAGGGGCAAATATACAACATTCAAGTCCAAAACGAGTATTTTATTAGCAATTAACTCATTTTTGGAAATTGGTCACCAAAGTGGACATTTTGTCTTCTTTTTTATTACATTGACTGGAATAAATTTTATACCAGTCTTTTTGGCGATTAAAATTCAGGGTCATTCTGTTGTTTGTGCTAATATTGTTAACATAATGTTTTTAACTATGAGCGTTGATAGAGTTATCGCAGTTTCATTTCCAATTTTGTATGTTTTTAAAAGGAAATAAATACTTATAATATAATTAACCCGAGTAATAATGCTTCAAACTCTAGCCTAGAAATCTGAGACAAATGCTTCATTCGGGGTGACATTCAATAGATTGAGAACTAGTTGATTTATTTTTATGATATTGATTATTAAAAAATTTTTGTTAATTAAATTGATAACGATTTTTAAATATTCAATTAGGAGGAATATTGGTTAGGTGAGAAGATAATATTTAAACATACAAGGTGATTCACAGGCCTCGATTAATCTAGAATTTTTGTGAAGTTTAGAGTCTTCTAATCTTGACAAAAATGTATTCTACTGTATTTTTCTATTTGAGAGAGTCTCTAACCAATTGAATGGCCTTTTGGGAGGAAGTTTAATAATTGAGCGGCATGACACTCTTTTTAATGAAAAATATGGTATACTGAAAATTAATCTAAAACATTTTACGCTTTGTAGTTATTCCAATATCAATTTCCGTTTCTACATATTCCTACACACATTGCCGATTTTTACTCTTTCCGTATTTATTTTTTATCAAATATTGTCGCAAATTGGAGCACATCCAGACTTTCCAGTAACCGGCAATCTTGCCGATATTTTTGGAATAACATCAATTATTGATACTCGATTAATTTATGTACCTCTTATGCTAGCTTCAATTTTGCTTCATATAATTGTCGGATTTTTGGTAAAATATAAAGGAGGTTTGACTTTATTAATGATGATTTAGTGAATCTATAATCAGAAAATTTGAAAACGAATTGAAAATTGGAAAAAAAATTTTTATAAAATTTAAATATTTTTCCAATATTCTGTGTTGAAATTTCTTTATGTAATAATATTTTCAAAGCTGAAAGATGTAGAGGTAAAAGTTAAGCTTAGGTAATTTGGCATAGGCTTCTCAATGTAGTTTGCGCAGGCAACATTGCCTAAAAACCTAGATATCGAAAAGTTTCTCAATAGTAATATAGATATATTTTTGATTGTTTAGAAATTTTAAAAGATAAAAAATGAGAAAACTTAACTTTTATCGGAGTTTCTGAAAAATTTTTCGGACATCAATAACATAAAAAGGCAAAAAATCGTGTGAATTTCTAATTGTGAATGACAGCACATTTAATATGTTTA